CTGACAGCGGGATCTGGAATGCTGTCCGAGAGATAGATGGCTAAGCCGAAGGATTGAGTAATATTAAAGATGCTTCGAGTAATATAAAACTACAGTGAACGCTGCTATCGTTTTGTATTACTTTAACTTCGGAGCCACAAAATAAATCACGGTTTCGCGTCCATAGATCATCCGTCGAGATTAGTCGTACGTTTAGTTTCCTACATTCTTGTGTCCTCCATGCAGCCTCCCCAGTGTGGAAGAAACGGCAGACGATCAAAGATAATAATTTTCTCATCGACGCATCAACGGTTGCTCCGAGCGAGTGAGGGAGGTCGCTCGCGCAAATGAGCAACGCGAGTCGACGATGGGGCATACTCGCTAATTACTTGACGTATTCCAAGGTCTGTCTATCTATCCTGGAATCGCGATGGTTCCAACGACTTCGTCCGAGCCGACCGACGGCGAAATAATTAGGCCGCGGAATTGCAGCGCGATAGCGGGGGCGCGCTTCGGGCGACGATTACCCTTGCAAGATCGAGGGGTACCCGTGTATCGGCGGGCCCCCTAATGGCCGAGGATATTATCAAGTAGCTACCTAAGGCCACGATCACGAGGCTCGGTAACCCCGACAGTACAGATTGAAATCCACCCCTTCGACTTCTTTGTTCTCATTGTTATCGCGACTCGCGCGCTGCACGAAGCCGCTCGACCGCGCGCTGTGGTGGTTATTAATGCAGCGCGGCTCGGGCAACTTTGAAAAATGGCCAACGGCCGCCGATGATTCAGAGTTTTGCACGGAGACCAGTCGTGGCCGTCGTGTCAACGTATGGTCTTGAGGAATATAACGTCGCGAAACAGGTGCGCGTTCGCACAGAAACGGCGCACCTCGCCAACGCCTGGCGTCGGGACCGTCGCTACGCGGAAAGAGACACGGATCGTTGATCGATGAATGGAATACATTAATCACGAGGGTCGACGAAAAGAAGGACTTAAATATGCAGCCGGCCGCGGGCTATAACGGACTCTCCCTGCTTGCGCTTTTCACTTCGCTGAGATGCGTTATCGTCGACGAAGAATTTTGCCCTTGTCGGCTAAAATTTGCGTTTCCGTGATTTTGTTATGTGTGTGTATGTAGAACTTTTTATAAATATATATAAAATATAAATTAAAATCAGAATTATACACTCTTCCAAGCAAATACTTGGTGCATTTTTATAGTCTCAAAATATTTCAAGGTCGTGTTTTTTAGGAATTCGGAGAATATTAAGCATTATTGATGTTCCGATATAAATCTGTATTCTCCGACGCGCGCTTGCGGCATTTTTTAACACTCCCCCGTCCACCCCACGACAATCGAAGCCGGAGCCGATCGACGCGGTCGCACGCCTCCACGCTTCCCGCGTCCCCCGTTGCCAATATTTCACTCACGCTCTATTTATTTAGTCCCGCTAGTGTAAAAGTTCTCATACAATTCTCCGTAACACGCCGTCACATCCGCGTGCGCGCTCACGACACGTTCTCTCGCATCTCGGAGAGAACTTCTCGGAGGTCATCTTACGAACGGGGAACGTACAGGGTGACTCAGTAAGGCGTTCCGACAGAAACTTCGCTCTCCGGTACGTATTTAATGCGATTCAAAGCTGACTTTTCCTTGGCGAAACACGACACCTCGGCAGGATCCAAGGATTTCTTCGTAATTAACCCTTGCGTGAGAACCTCGCTTAAGTGAGCTCCTCTGCCGCTTCTTTCAAGGATAGAACCTTTCCGCCAGCGTGGAATACCTTTCTTGAAGCGCCCCGTATTTTTCCAAAGGCGGCGTACACGTCCCGATATATACACTTCCCATTGGTGCATCTCGTCCGTCCAAAATCAATATAGCTCCACAGATTGTTATTTATACCGAAACGGAGATACAATATTCCGTTTGAAGTCTTTCTCTTCTGGCATTATCCTGCAAGGATGGTTAGCGGGGTGGTTACGCAGAGGCCGAACGGTGCGGAAAGAGGGCGAGGGGGCGCAGTTAAAAGAGCGGGGGTGGTGTAGGAAACGACGGATTACAAGAAGCGTCTCGGGCGCCTCTAAGCTCGGTAATGCGAAGGCGGGAGAACGAGGGCTCTTTGATAAATGCGAAATGTACCATTCGAGTTTGTTATGGTCCCCGCAATCCACTATTTACGGCGTTTTCTTTGAACTACTGGGATAAAGACGCGCCCACGTCGGGCTAAACGATGCGGTTGCTACTTAAATTGCGAATCCTCGAGAAAAAAAACATAGACGCAAGGAAAGAAGTGTCGCCTCTTAGCGCGCGTTTCCGCCAATTATTTTTTTATATATTTTTCGATTTTTTCCCTCTATATTAACGACAATCATATATCTGAGTCAACAATCGTGGTCCTATATTAACATTTCAGATTCCATCGAATTTGGAGTGCCAGTGAAAAATTTCGATAGTTATAAACTGTACACACGGTATTGTCTTTTGATGTTAGAAACTTGACTCACTAGATACTTGCTAGAATTTGGACTTATTTAAAAATAATTTAATATTCAATGATATCAATAGTACACCTGTATTTAATTTTCGATTCTGATTTCAACAAACGGCATATTAATACTTAACTGTAGATGGAATACTTGCACGGAGTATTACTTACTCAACTGCAGATGGAATATTTGCAATAAATCAATATTAATCTAATAAAAATTAATAAGCACACACAAGTGGATACATAAAATAACATATTTTCTTTTTTCATAATACTTTTATTATTTTCTATTGATGATTGAAACTTCAGGAGTATTTGAAGATTTAAAAGAGTTGAGAAAAAGAGTTTTAAACTTCGTTGCCGTTCTATCCTGCATCTTGTATTTTATTCTGAAGTCAGCTCCAGGAAAACATACGATAAGATCGGAAACACAGCCTTAACTAACGATCGCGTGTTAATCGACGATGATTGTCGAAAATTATGTATCGTTGATTGTCGTGTTTTTTGGGCTACCGTACATATTTATTGTTTGGCGAAAGACGACGGTTCGCGACTGACGGGAAGTGACTTTGTTGTTTTTCTCTTTCTGGAGTCAATTATTTTGGGACGCTTGCGCGGCGCGTATTTGTCCGTGACATTACGTCTCGGGACGACGAACGACGCACATACCGCGGCGCGGAGTACATGTATCGGTACATTGTTTACAATTTCTACTGAGTAGTTGGAATATTTCGCCGATTATTGAAATATTTAATCGAGCTTTCGTCGGTATCGCGTTAATTAACACACGTTTCTTTGGTTGAATCGTATCTACGTGAGTGTCAGTGCCAGTGAATATTCGGAACCACGGAATAATCCGGAATACTGGATTGAGAAACTAGGACGGTAGATACAGGACGTACGGACGTGAGTAGTAATATATCATACATGTCCATATATGCAAATTCAGTTATTGGACGGGATATTTCCAATTTAACGAACTTTAACGACATTTAATGAACTCGTCGAGAAAGAAGATATCCGATTTTTAATTTAAGATACAGTAGGACATATATAATCCACTTATTTTTGTCCGCTTTATCATTTCATAAATATTTAACTTTACAAATCTTCGATTAAATTTGCCAAACTGTACTGATTTCATACAAGAGATATATATCCAAAATAACTTACAAGAGATATATATCGCAAATAACTTACAACTATGAATATCAATCTAAATTCGCAAATGTTAAGACTTGTTTCCCTAGTACTAGCTTTTTGAGTTGCAGGTTCTATTTTGAATCTGCCAACGTCTTTTTTATACTTTTGTTATCTTCAATCGTTCTACCGGGTTTAAATTTAAATCCTTATATTGATCGTATTTCAATACAAAAAACGGCATCTGATCACGATTTTTACGATTTCAAATAAAAGAGAAGATAGACTTTTTTATGCCAAGCGGGTTACACCTCTTAGATTCCTTTTAGCTTTTGTAGCCGAGATATCGGACACTCGATACATTTTCGTGGCAGCCAATCGATCATTGATTCGGGATTAGATGATGTTCCTCGAGGATTAAGAATTTTCACACGGTCTTTTTTCAATCGTTGAATCGGATGAATTGAATTTCTCCGTGGAGTCTCGACCCGCTCACGTAGTTTTCCTTTAAGTAAATGGCGATCCATTTTCTCGGAGAAATTTCTTCTCCTTTGGAGAAACGTGAAATTGAAGACAGTGAAACGATGTTTAAATTCAAGTAGACCTAGATTCAAGTAACGGTAATCAACTCGATTAGCAGCTATAATCATGCAAATATTATGTTTAACGAATGCATGGAAAGATAATAAGATACGTATAAATAATTATTTTTCTCGACCATGAGCGATAATATGAATTTGACGAATTGCAGTCGGAGTGTGTATAAGTATCAATATTCAATGATACGTTCTCTCATCTATGCGATTATTTTAATTTTAATTTAACTCAATCTTACTGTGATGAATAAATCGAAACCGAACTTTTATACGTCACGACAGGAATTTCTCATAAATATACACGACTCGCGTTGAAGATATTCCTGATTATATATCTAAAAATATAATTATGAATAATTATGAAGCAGTGTGTAATATTAATATCGTAGTGAAGATAACCTTGAACAATATAAATAGAAAGAAAACCGCATAATGATCCGCTCAGGCGTGATTCGGTGCCTCAAAGGTCAACTTGACCTTGACGCGAGCTAACAATACATATACGTAGGTTGTATTTCAATCACGGATTCAATTAAAGCAGTTCTAAACTGGGAGATGAATATATAATACCACGTCGTATGTTATTTCCAACTTTTCCAAATTAATCCAAAACGCGTTTGATCGTCCATTGTCAAGTAAATCCAACGAAACTCATTTTCTAACGCTACTTTTATTGGATTTTACTAAATTTTGGGAAGAGATATGGTCGCGGAATATTTATGTTCCGATTTGTCTATTCAAACGTCTACTTGATATCGTTACTAATTAGAAAAACTATTTTTTATTGTATATCTAGCAGAGTTTGCGGCTGCCCGACGCAGATGCAGGTCTGGAGGATGCAGTTTTGGCGGATGCGGTTGCAGCACCAGAGGATCCGGTTCGGGCCGAGCAGGATCGACTCAAAGGTAAGTTCACGTGCTCGCTATGCGAGCTCTTCTTAGTCCTTTGAGTCGAAAAGCGAGATGTAGCCGTTAGAATGACTCGGATTACGACCGCGGAGAGTTGGTCGTGAAATTTATTATACCTGTGTCCCTACGTGCATTTATTTATTAAGCCGACGTTCTAAATCTAATCGGTGAAATCGCATTTTTTGTTCCAGATCTGAGTAGCTGGCTCTGAGTTTGAGCGTTTTTTATCGGTGAGTGAGAAAAATAAGTGATAAAAACCTAAAGTAATGGATAGTTTTTTTATAGGTTGATATTTATATCTCATTCGGATCAATGCGATTTACTTCGTAGATTTTGTGTTTCACTTTTTACATGTATGTGTATGTATTGTAAAAATGAAACATATATTGCTCGAAGCAATTAGAAGATTGTCCCTTCGCATATTTATATCATTTGTGACAAATATCTTACAAGTAAAATATTTTTCTCTTGATAAGTAATTTTAATTGTTTCTAGTAACACTTATATAATCAATAAACGTTTTTGTAAATAAGTATACATTCTTTTAGTAAACATTTATATAAATATGGTATTTTAGCTATTCATTTTTATATTTATTTCAAACCGTTATTCAGCAAATTAATTTAGTGCGATTTTTTCATTGTTTCAAGCAACGTATAATCAAAATGCATATTAGAATTGTGCCACCGCGCACGGTCACTATCGACTTGCGATTATTTTGCTCATATACCGCATTGATAGATTCTGCGATCGGCGCAATTGATTTTTAATACATACTATTTTATATGTTTACATTCACGTCGAAATTATTTTGCTCGCGGATTTCACGGTATTATTTATTGATTTTATTACGCGCGATTCATACTGCGAATATTTTTAAATGACATCGTATAACATGTCAAAAATTCGTGAAATGTGAAACCCATTTTTTCGAAGATGAAAACAAGATATCTTTTTTCATATTTACGATTTCGCCGAAAACATCAAAGTTTTCCAGTCCTCGATTTCTCATTCGTAATTCAAAATTCGCGATGTGCACACTTTGAGTGAAATTGCGTTATAATTGTTAAACTTTAATTACTTATAACCCGAAAATTATCGCAATTTTGACATTTCAATATTATAATTTTCAATTCAAATTAGGTTTTAAAATAATTGAAATATTATTATTAAAATATTTATACGTGACAATTTTCTGGCATATATTTCGTGTACAGAATTCTCTTTACAGAGGAACTCTCTAATTAGTATTTAATTGCAATGCTACCTTTACTTATACATTTCTTTTACATCGCGCGTATGAGCGGACAGTGATGAAGTATTAGACTGTCGTGCGTAGCAAGATTTATCATTTTCGTAAAAAGACAGCGTGGGCATTCCCTGTATCGTGCTCGCCACATGGTCGCACGGGGCTGCAAAAGGGTTAATAATGGCAGCGTCGAGCTCTATATGTACATTGTTTCTTGTTATCGTCAGAAATACATTTTCGTCGCAAAGCGCACGCAATCGGCTCGTTTGGTCGATGCGATTCTCAGTTTTATCCGTTCAACGCATCGTGATATCTTGCTCCGCTATTTTGCGGCAATTAGCCAGCCACTTTTATACCGCTGGAACACCTCGGACAAGCGCGATGCGCGAATTTATAATTAACGAACGATCAATCGTTCACTCGCTTTGTCGCCGCCCGGTAACCGCGCGACGAAATTATCGCTTAATAATTATAACATAAATAACAAGTATTTATATAAACTTTATCATTGTTCAGCGTTTCGCGTAATTTACATGACGTTACATATGCAGTTTCTCAAGTAAAACAACAAGTTGTTAAATCGCAGAAATGGCTTCTCTCTATACTTGTTAGATCAGGTGTCTCACAGCACGATATTTCGCAGAAATCTATGAAGACGTTTTACGGAGGAAACGAGTGATTGAACTTTGAGGCGTGGAATAAACAGGAGGCTTTTATCGAGATCTCGTTGGAAATTTGTCGAATCGCGAGAGTTCATTCGACTCGAACGTACGATACGTAGGTGCTCGTTCGCATTTCATTTCCGGTGGCAATCTACCGCTATTTTCTACATTAACGCGAGCGTCTCTATTTACCGTGCTTGCCCACTGAATAACGATCACGTGCCGACTGAAATTATAATAAAAGGCGCGAGTCGGGTCGAGTTGAGTCAAGTCGACGAGATCCGCCGGTCAATTTTGTACGCGCTAGTAGTGTCGCTTTAATCGGGATTCCGGGAGAATTACATGCACTTCGCGATCGTCCTCGCTTCCACCCGCGCTCGCTCGGAAAATTTGCATGCAAGTTCTTTTTTGCGTCACCGGAACCGCCGCGCGGCGCCGAATGCATTCTGTGGCACCTCCGCGCGCGACACCAACGATCAATCATTTTCCAGAATCGCGAATGCATCGCGGATTTGATAATTTCCTGTTCCCTTCTTTTTGTTTTTTTCGGCGACGTACGTGACGGGAATCAGATTATTAATTGCGGTTTTGCATTCGATGTGTCGAGGTCAGTCCACTTGACGTCGCGACGTCACGCGTTATTCAGGAAAAACCCGTACGCGCGTGTTCTTTCCCTGCCGAGAATGCAGTTATCCAAAACGTACATAGATAAATGCAACTAAATGAGCAAATTTATGTGAAATGTTCCAAACGTTTGAGTTAAAAGATTTGGGAACAATTACGTAGAAAATGTTACTCATCATTGTAATTTGGAGTGTGTGTAAATATGAGATGCTTCAGCTTCAATAATTCCTGCTTAAGGCAACTTTAGATCATGAGGGATTTACAATTACGGTTATTTACATGTTTTAATCACTTCGTTTTCGGCGTTTAAAGTGTCGAAAACTGACCTTGGAATTATTTGTTGGTCGAAACAATAATCACGGGGTCTGTGAATTTCATAACTTACGCCAGGTTATCTCACGGGATATTGCTCGAGACGCGATAAATCGCATTTATCGGGTCAATAAGGTAGCAACCTTGTTATATACGGAACAAGGAGCGATAACGATGGTTTATCAAAAAAAAATACGAGCGGACGTGCGAATGTATTTTATAAGGATAAAAAGAGAGGCAAGATCCCACATAAGCTCGCGTTTCTCCTGCACGTTTCGCATCGATCTGTCGCGCGATACGTGAAAACGGATGTTACTTTCGCGATCGACGACCCTCCCGGTTATGTAAAATTAGCGACGAAGAAAACCCTTTGAAAGTTCTCGTTTTGCAAAGCCGTGTAATCCGCGCCGATGTGATTTGGTACGCTAGAGCTCCTTGCCCCCCCCCCCCCCTTCGTTATCGCTATCGAGCTTTTCAGCGAGCTTTACATTCGTTTCATGACACTCTTCAAAGCTCACGAAAGTCCGGCAGCTGAGCACACGAGACCCGACGACGACGGCACGTTATATCCGTCGCTGTACGTACATATATACGTCGCCGTGCCGAGTACACCAGGTATTAATTACGCCACGTCGAAAAACGTGTATCAAGATAATGTAATCCCACTTTCCGCAGAACGCGAGTGGAAATTGTTAAACAGAACGCGCGAGTCCGCATGCGCAAAAATTAATGTACACGCGTAAAAATTAACGGCGTGCGAATAATCGCGTTGCCGGCGATAAACTGCGCGAAAAGAGCTATCGCGGTAAAATTTTACATTCACGGGATGTTAGTGAATTAGTGAAATGTGGAAAACGTAAACTGCGTCTAAATATGTGTGTGTGCATAACGAGCCCGCGCATCACGGCCAACCGTTTTACCGTCAAATTAAATGTAAAAAATGATATATTCCCTTATTAACATTAATCTATTTTATGCTTTTGAACGGGGGCAACTTTAAGTGACATTCCCTCGCTCTTCCGTAGCGAGAGAATTATTATACTGAAAGGGGGCTCGAGGTTCGACGCTAATGAAATTGTTGAATGCTCTGTGAAACGGAATATCGGGGCACATTTATAGGGATTACGTTTCGATCTTCGAGTGAAGTTCAGCGCACGGCTCGCGGTACAGATTGCGAGTAATATAATCGCGCTGTTAGCCCGCTCTCTCTCGCTCCATCGGCGCGAGTAGTCGCTCGGCGAAACGATTTCCATTCTCGGGATGTCTTTTCTCTCCTCAGTAGCCGGGGCAGCGTTCCGGTTACGCCGTCATAAAACCCGGCACGTCGTCTTTATTCCATTTAAAAGATTTGCTCGCGAAATGTGTGTCAGGCAAATATCCTGCTATTGTCGAGCGAACATTTTCGTTGAATATACACGGCTAGATTTCGACGCGCCTGCAGCACCGATACATCACAAATATTCCAGGACTTATCGAACGCGCGAGAGTGCGTTTATTTATACACGTTAGCTTGTCCCGCTGAACCCATTTTTTCATCGCTCGCTTAATCCGGTGCTCGTATAAATGTTATGAAGGCTCGAATAAACCCGTTTTGTCGAGTGAATCGTTATCGCTCTTTGATCAATTGAGTCCGACTGGTAATTGCGTGAAATATTCCAAAGTTGTCTCCTTCTCCCCGACTCAGCGCGAATTCGGATGATGCTCGAGCGATACGCGAACTTTTGAAGAAAGTTCACGGAAAGGAAACGTTCATTCCGTTGGTACGATTTTTCACAAACTGCTTTTTATTATTCTCAGAGATCCGCCAAAGCAATCTGTAAACTGTGACGGGCGCTATATCTAAAAATTCTAACATCGTGTCTTCCGCATGAATGCATTGTCGTGCATCTCGTATCGTCGCGAAGGCTTTACGAAAATTACATTATCCCGGGCATTTTTCAAAGAATACGCACGGAGGTACGGTAAAACAGAATAGATGGCTCGGTAGTATTCGTCTTGTCAGATACACCTGAAATGCGAATATTATTATATTACCTCCGGCGGAACGGAACGACAGAATAAATGCGGGATGTAACGAAGTTCCGACACGGAATTCGAAGCTTCGCCGAAACTTATCGACGATTTCCTTCGATGCATTTATAGCGCTTTCGATTCGCAAACCGCGCTAACGAAGCGGTAATAACGTCCAATGAGGACTGCGACTTATCGGTTTCGGCATCGGGGGATTCGCTTCCTCGTCGCCGAGCAGAGGCGTAGACGCGCGTCGGGTGACATCTCCGGCACATTCAGATAAATCCAGATGGACACGGCGGATAGCGTGCACGCGATTATCGATCGGATTTCGCGTCCCCAACGAGACTTCGCGTTTATCTCTCGCATTTAAATCGCCGGCAAAGA